TTGAAAATAATCCTTTCAAGAAGCTTTAGTAGAGACGGCGTTTTGTGCACGCCCCGATAGTTATTAACATCGGACCGAGATCCTGACTTGAAAACGGGAATGATAATTGACGTTTTCCATGTTTCAGGAAAGAATCCTTTTGAAATATAAACCGAGAATAGATGACTGAGCAATATGGGAAAGTCGGACGCTTGTTTTATAATCGACTTCGGAATCCCGTCCGTTCCTGAGCAGTGGGAGTATTTCAAACGGCTTATGTGTTTCTTAATGAGATCTGAGGAGACATCAATTGTACTCAGTGTCCTATGTGAAAGTGATCGAAAGAAAGGGACCGGATCGGACTCGGTAGCAAGGTGTTTTGCAAAGAAAGCACTAAACAACTCCGCCTTGTCAGTGTCATCGGTGAGGAATACTTTGTTATCATTTAGCATGGGTGGAAGTTCATGACCACGCTCAGAGTAGGACCGATGACGGAAGATGTTTGCGACGGATTTGCCAGGGTTCGAACCACTGAGAGCAATTAATTCTCTTTGCCTGTCGCGCGCTTGGCGCATCCTTGAGGCCATCTCAAAAATCTCTGTGATTCTAAGATAAACTGTCTCCAGGGAAAACTCCAGACAAATCAGTTCCGGTGAATAACGTGGCGATCGACGCTAATGCATTAAAAATAAGTCAGGTTTCATTACCCGTTATGGTAAGTAAACCTGCCAAATCATCGAACACTAAAGTTGGGAAAGCCAGGGTGACCTTCAGAAGATCTCTCAGAAACTAAAAGGATTCGCCGTTATTCTCGGAAGGTAACGCTGTTACTCCATTTCATCCCATGGCTAACTCCTCTTGAAAGTGCCCTAACCATTTTATTTATGGAAAAGGACACGATAAGCCTTCGCGCAGTACATTGAAACAGGTTAATGATTGTAAGAGCTCCACTGCCGAGGCAAGTACGTCACATGAAAATCCATGCCCTATACCCCCTTCGCCCGCCGAAAATCACTCAAATGTCGAAACACCAACATCCGTCGGGAATACTACAGTAGCATTATATCGCTCTAGTGCGGACGGGACAATAATGAGCTCTTCCATAAATCGTAAGCAAAATATTGTCATAAGGGGAGCCCCAGAGTCCATATCCTGCATTCGGGAGGATCGAGTGACGCACGACCTAGACCTTCTTCATCAGTACGCCGGTGCGGTCCTGCAGGATGGGGAAATATTCACCGTTAAAATGCTTTCCGACTAGGCAGAGCGGACCCAGATCGTGACCTAAAAACATCCCCAAGTCCCCTGAAAGTTATTTTGGAAAACGAAGCCCAAGCAGCGCTTCTGTTAGAAAGTAGAACGACCTTACGCAATTGGCACAAGGAAGTGTTTTTTCAACCAGACTACGAACCGAGGGAAAGACTGAAAATGAGAGAACTGAGATCAGAATTGAAGGAGAGAATTGGCAGAGGCGAGAAAGGGCTGAAGATCAAAAATGGACAAATAGTGCAGACGAAGGGGCCTTTCCTGTGGTCAGAACCCGTCACAATGAAGGCCGGGCCTCTCCAACGAATCAGCCAAGGAAAGTTATCTCCACAAATGTACAAAGCCTCTTCAACAAACTAGACGAACTAAAAGACCTAGTTGATGAAATTAAGCCAGACATTATGGCATTTACAGAAACGTGGCTTACTGAAGATAACGCAGATTCCGAAATATCACTTAGAGGATATCAGCAATTCAGGAGAGATAGACTAAGCCGAGGAGGAGGAGTCATAATTTATGTCACTTGCAAGCTAAGCGCTATGGCTGATGTACACAGACCGGTACGGGATGTGGAACTGCTAAGCGTTACCATATCTACTAAGAATGTCCGATCATTGACGCTTTCGGTAGTGTACCGTTCACCTAACCATACTTCTGACCAAGATCTCATGCTCATATCCGAACTGTACCATGCTAGCGAGAAGAAAGACGTCATTATCGTTGGGGATTTTAACGCTCCTGGTATTAATTGGCTAACGTGGACTGCACAAGTGCCGCAAGACAGCTTTAATCACAAACTACTACAATGGGCAACGGACAAAATTCTCTGCCAGAATGTTACCTTTGCAACACGGGTCAAGGAAGGACAGCAGTCGAACTGCCTTGATCTTATTTTTACCCGAGAGGAGGAAAATGTGTGAGACCTGCAGGACCGACAGCCATTAGGGTCAAGCGACCACATCACGCTCTACTTCGAGTACTCACTGTTTTACAAACCCGTCCAACCCGAGAGGTGGGAGAGAAACATTTGGAAAGGGGAATATTCTCTCATGAGGAGGGAATCGGCAGCTATATCATGGGAGACTGAACTGCATGGTCGAGCAAACGACAATTAGAATACCTTCAGTTCCTTGCTGAAAGAGATTGTTTATTCCAATTGTCCTCTCAGAAGAAAGACAATCACAAACCGCCCAAGATGGATACACCCGGAATTGAAGGCCTCCTTCAGAAAAAGGAATCGTCTGTGGAGGCGTTACAGACTAACTGGCTCCGAAGAACACTTACACGAATATAAACGACAACAAAACGTTTGCAAAAGTGAGGCCTCAACGCTGCGAAGGAAGATTGAACTGAACATACTCCGAAATTCGCTGGAGCATCCGAAAATTCTATATGGTTATATACGAAGTACAAAAAGGACTCAGGAGCTGATCCCTGCCCTTAGGTCTGCAGATGGAAAAGTGGAGACTGATGACCAGGTTAAAGCGTCCCTCCTTTCCGACTTCTTTCAGTCTGTTTTCAACCGAGAGCATAGTTCTATATTTGCCCATCCATTCGCCAACCAACCTCTCCTCCCAGTACCCTTCCCCCTCCTATCCCCTCCCTACTCTCCTTAACCGAGGAACCACTCTTTTCGTCGACCATAGTTAGGGCTGAGCTACTCCGGCCGAAACCTGCCAAATCGCCTGGCCCAGATAGAATTCCCGCCCTAGCACTTCGTGAACTTGCTAATGAACTGTGCAAACCCTTATCCGCAATATTTCAAAAGTCATTTAAAGACGGCGAGCTCCCCGAAGAATGGAAGTGCGCACTGATTACTCCGATCCATAAAGGAGGCTCAAGACTTGACTGCGGAAATTATCGTCCTGTCAGTCTTACTTGCATCGCGTGTAAAATAATGGAATGCATTATCAAAAGACACTTGATGAAATACCTGGAACAGAACAAAATATTGTGCGATGCCCAACACGGCTTTCGTCCAGGGCGCTCCTGCTTAACGAGTGTTCTTTACTCGCACGAGCAATGGACACGAGCTACCGATAAGGGTTTTCCAGTAGATGTCATATTTTTGACTTCAAGAAGGCCTTTTACAGTGTCCCACACTGGCTTCTTTCAAAAAGATCTGTGATATAGGAATTCGAGGAAGAATGTTTAAATGGATCAGGAGTTTTCTGTCCACCAGTCTATAATGTGTCGTCGTTGGTAATTCTACCTCGGAATGGGCAAAGGTGGAAAGTGGTGTCCCACGGGGTTCTGTCTTAGGCTCAGTACTCTTCCTGATTTATGTTAATGACTGCATCAGCGACGTGGATTGCGAGGCCCTCATGTTCGCGGATGACATAAAAATATGGTGTGAAGTCAAGTGTGATGATGACGCAGAGAATTTGCAGTCGAACATCCACAAACTGTGTGCTTGGTCGAACAGATGGCTTTTAAAGTTTAACGTGTCCAAATGCGTGGTTTTTCACCTGAACACCGGCCGAAATGCCTCTCTCAAACACCAGTACTATTTAATAATAATAACTTATTAAATGCGTTGTCAGGGGACGAGGTTGTTGACGGGACGAGGTTAGAAACTGTGGAAAGACACAGAGATCTGGGTGTATGGACGACCACAAATCTATCGCCATCAGAACACTGTAGAAAGATGGTCCAGAATGCAACTAGTACTCTGCACTGGATCAGACGTGCATTTAAAATATTTCCTCCCGATCTCTTCGAAAGACTCATCTAGAGTATGGAATGTCAGCAGCTTCACCATGGACGAGGAAGGATAACGACTTACTCGAACAGGTGCAACGGAGAGCGACAAAGATGGTCGACGGTGTAAAGCATTTGTCTTATCAGGAGAGGCTGAATTTGCTTGGCCTATTCCCTCTCTCTTATAGACGAATAAACTGCAGTCCACTTTGGACGTTCCGGATTGTCCGCGGCCAGGGTTGCTCATTAAGAGCAGAGGACTTCTTTGAGTTCGCCCGTACAAACCAACTACGCGGCCATGCATACAAAGTCGGAAATGAGCGCACGCGTTTAGACCGACGAAAATTTTCATTCAGTCAGCGGGTCGTCAGGCCGTGGAACTCGCTTCCAAGCGAGATGGTGATGGGTCACACAGCCTGTGCGTTTAAAAGAAAACTTGCTCGTCTAGTTTTAGACAGAAATCGGCTTGTAAAGCATGACTATGCACAGCCAGTATTGTAAAATCTGTCATATACAATCTTCCGCACTAATTTACATTGACACTATGCACTACTTTATGATTACGATTGAACTGTGACCCAATCACCTTTAAAATTCCTGCAATTTTATTTTATTTTTGAGTACGAATCTGCGAAAGCACTGTATATAAATAGGGTCATGAAGGGCTCTGACTGAAACAATTCAATATATACATATACAAATGTACATATTGCTAACAGAAGCGAAGATGCGCGTCCCCGGACATAAATGAGAAGAAAAGGCGATCTCGGGAACCATTGTTTTAATGTCCTGACGTTTCAAAAGCATACAAGCTTCCATCGTCGGAGGTGAGTGTGGTATCGCGCCTCACAGTATTTATAGGTGGGTGAAAGTCATGTCAAAACGGGTTTTCTTACATGTGAAGTCAGGGCGGCATCGGGAAAGGGGCGGGGGGAGTCCTAGATAGTCTTTTCGCCGGATGATGGGATGGTGGATCAGCTTTAGTGGTCATCAGCCGCATGCACACATGAACTGTGGCGGGCGGGGGGGGAGGGAGGGAGGGTGACGGAATGTACTCAATCTACATCGGAGGCCGGCGTTGAGACGTTGGTGGTCGTCGTTCGTACCTTCATTGAGCGTAGCTGTCGTCCAAGCCTGACAATCTTGTTTTCGCCGCAACGACTGACCGTTTTCTCGTCCGCCGGACTAGTAGATGGACCGGCTGTGGTGAGGACTGTGCCTTCGTCGGAACCCGATTGAGGGGTGGCTGAGTGTGTATACGCCATGTACTCGCTCATGTCTGGATTAATGTTTAGCCTGGGTGCACGTCTGCTCATTTGTTTACTGAGCTGCGCTCGAAGGGCTTGATAGGCAGCGGGAGGAGCCACACAGCGGTTGATAGAGGTTGTCCCCGTGTGCCAAGCCTCGATTGTTTCCTTGGCTATGCGATCGTTTCCCCGGCCCAGAATTTCGGCATGCTGAAAGGCGAACGTGTGTCCGGCATCGGCGCAGTGTTCGGCCACCAGAGACAAAGGGTCCATTCGCCTTACTGCCCTCATGTGTTCTCTAACACGAGTCTGTAGCCGTTTGCCGGTCTCTCCAATGTAGTTGACTTCGCAGGAGTTACATCGGATCCGGTAGATGACATTCGTGGTTTCACCTAGTGGCAGAGGGGCCTTAGGTCTTATGACCAGGTGTCGAATTGTTGACTCCGGTCGGTGGGCGATGCCGATCCCCAGCGGTCTTAAGAGACGCGAGACGGCCTCAGAAACGCCGTCGATGTATGGAAGCGCCCGCCATATTGTTGGTTGTTCTGTCACTAAACGTCGGCTCGGTCCAGCCTGTCTGCCACGTTCGATGAAGTTGCGAGGATACCCGTTGGTCATGAAGAGGCGCTGGAGGTAGCGTAGTTCTGACCTTCTGTCGTCCGGCTCGCTGCAGTGTGTTTCTGCCCTTCTGTAGAGTGTTCGCACACAACTGCGTTTGTGGTCTAACGGGTGCTTACTGTGGAAGCTGAGGATTTGGCGCGTATTAGTGGCCTTCCTATATACCGTCGTTTTAAGGTGTCCATTGGGTTTTCGATGGACGAGCACGTCCAGGAACGGGAGTTAATTGTTGGCCTCCGCCTCCATTGTGAACTGGATGTCAGGGAAAACAGAGTTCAGGACATCATGGAATTCCTTGACCATTTGCCGCTTAATGATAACGAAGGTATCATCGACATATCGAGCCCAAAATTTCGGCTTATAGGTTGAGAAAACGAGGGTCTCTACTTTATGGAGAACTGCCTCTGCGATGAAGCCCGAGAGCGGCGATCCCATTGGCGTCCCCTTGACCTGCTCGTAGGTCGTGCCTTCAAAGGTAAAGTACGTCTTCAGGCAGAATCTCAGCAATTGGACGAGATGTCTTCTTTTTTACCGTCACGTCCGTCTCGTCTTACTGACTCTCGAGCAGCTCGCTGACCGTTTCGATTGCCAGGTCTTGCGGGATCGAGGTGAAAAAAGAGGTGACGTCGAATGACACCATGACATCGTCTTCGGTAAGTCTCATCCCTTTGATACGCTCCAGGAACTGAGTCGCTGAACAGACCGTCGTGCCCGCGTCCGAGGTGAGAGACCTCAGGTTTCGGAACAGCCATTTGGCCAAATTGAATGTAGGTGCGCCGCGCAATGATACGATTGGCCGGAGGGGGACCCCGGCTTTGTGTACCTTTGCTAGTCCGTAGAACCTTGGTGCGGCCGCGTCTACTGGCTTAATGGCCAGTCGTACCGATTTACTTATTGCCTTGCTCGTTTGCATGTCGGCGAGTGTCTTGTCCAGTTGCGTCACCAGCCTCCTCATCGGTTCATCGTTACATGGTAGGTACGCCTGTCGGTCCTCCAGTAGGGCATTGGCCTTCGGAATGTAGTCTGCCTTATCCATCACAACTGTTGAACGCCCTTTGGCTGCTGGCAGAATCACGATGCTGGTGTCAGCCCTCAGTGTCTTGAGAGCGCTCTGCTCGGCCTTGGTAATAGTTGTACGCGGTTTGTGTGACATCGCCAAGGAGGCTACCTGCTGTCGAATGAGATGCTTTGTTTCATCGGATTCCCCGGTTTGTTTGAGAATCGACTCTACCGTGGCCACCAGATTGACTGGATCGGCATCTTCGGTGTTCAATCAAGCCTCATGACTCAGCACTTTCATTTGTGCAGGAGGCAGCTGCTTAGAGGACATATTGTGCACCAGGACTTCGTTCTCCTCTTGAGATGATTTGCTTATGCTTTGGGGCTTGACCGCCAGCTTGGCATCTCTCGTTGCTCGCAGGTTCCGGGCCCGTTTGTTAATCACTTGTTACAACTGAGCGACTCCGTCATCACCGATGAGTTCGACGCACTTTGTTACCGCCTGGCTCAAAACCCTGTTGTTTTAGTTTATTTCAGTTTATTTGGTAAGGATAATAGGCGAAGCCATTGAAAACCCTATTGATTACGTGTCAGCTCGTTAGAAATAACTGTACACGATCAAAAAATATTCACTATAAATACAGTACTTGGTTCATTTGTCTCAGAGGAAATATTTGTGGGGACCAGGGGTATGAGTTCAGATTCAGACCGTCGAGGGAAAACAGGGGACACAAATAATCATGCAAGCGTTTCTTGAAGAGTTGCAGGAATGTAGCCTCCACGACTGACTGAGGGAGATCGTTCCATTTCTCCACTACCCTCTGCGTGAAAAACTCAGAACAAAGATTCAGCGTGGACATTGTTGTCCGTAACTTCATCGAGTGACCACGAAGAGTGGGTGAAAGGTGCCACTGAAACATGTCCTCAAATTTAAGTCCATACTCAAGTCCATGTATTATCTTGTAGACGAGGATAAGATCACCTCTTTGCTGCCTGTAACACAGAGGGAATAAATTAAGGCAATTCAGTCTGTCTGTGTAGGAATGGCTTTTTAGACCGTTTACCAGCTTTGTTGCACGCCGTTGTACCCGTTCGAGGCATGCTTGGTCCTTTACCAGCCATGGCCGCCATGCTTGTATGTCATATTCTAAGTGGGGCCGAACAAATGTGCCGTAAACTCTCCCAAAAAGGTCCTGGTCAAAATTTACGAAAGCCCTTTTTATTGCATGCAGCACTCCCATGGCGTTTTTTGCAGCCTTGTGGCACTGTAGTGTTGGTTTCAGGTTGTTCTGTATCCAAACCCCGAGATCCTTCTGTGAAGATTCTGCGGGGAGCCTTATATCTTTCAGGTGATAAGTCCTCAGACTCTCATTTGAATGAGAGTTGGTTGGACGCAGATGAAGGACGGCACACTTCTCCACATTGAAATCTAGAAGCTATTTCTTCGACCACGCTTGCAGTCGGTGCAGATTATCTTAAAGGAATCCCTGATCATTCGGACCCCTAATGACTTGCCAGAGCTTAACGTCGTCTGCAAACATTATTTTGCCGCAGTCGAGTTCCTGAAGGCTGTCGTTAACGTAAAGGATTAAGAGCAATGGTCCCAGAACTGAGCCTTGCGGCACACCACTGGTCACATTTACCCATTCTCACATATCATCCCCGATACAGACACGTTGTTTTCGACCAACCAGAAACGCCCTAATCCAGTTCAGAAGATCTCCCCGGATGCCGATGTCGCTCAATTTGTGAAGAAGACGTTGGTGTGGGACAGTGTCAAAAGCTTTGCGGAAATCGATTTACACGACATCGACCTCAAAACCCTCTTTTAGAGCCCCGGTCCAGATTTCCAGACAAGCTGGCAGATTTGAGAGGCAGGAACGTCCTCTCCGGAAGCCATGTTGAAAATCCTGTAAGATGTTATTTTCTTTACAAAATTGCTGTATAGCGTTCTTTACTATAGCTTCCATTGTTTTGCAAGGGAGGCAAGTTAAGCTAATAGGTCGAAAGCTGCTTGCTGCCATCCTGCAACCTCCCTTATGCAATGGAACGAGGTTAGCTGTCTTCCACTGAGAGGGCAGCCTTCCTGTTCTCATTGACAGCTCAAAGAGAGTCGAAAGAGGCTTTGACAGCTCCCTTGATAGCTCCTTAAGTATCAGCCCGGGAATTCCGTCGGGTCCAGGAGACTTCTTAGGTTTTATTTGACTGAGGACGCGTCTGACTTCTTCCACGGAAAAGGCGACGGTTTTAATGACGGCAATATCTTGCCGCATTTGAAGCTCCCGGCTGTCTCGGTCCATTTCAAACTGCTGATTGTCTTCTACGGACTCCTCCGTAAAAACCGATTGAAAAAAATGAGACAGTAATCGCACTTTCTGTGACCCTTCAACTAATAAGTTTCCGAGGCTATCCTTTAGACACGCAATTTCGTCCCTATGTTTCCTCCTACTGCAGATGTACCCGTAAAACTTCTTGGGACATGTAATGGATTCTGCTATCAGTCGACGCTCGAAAGAAGTTCTAGCAACCCGTATTTCTTTGCGACATTTATTGCGCTGATCTTTATATTCGGCGAGTGACCTTGGATCTCGAAGTTGCAAATACTTTTTCCAGAGTCTCTGTTTCTTTTTCATGGTCATTTTTGTCGTCGGATTGACCCACGGCGGTCGCATACATGGTCTTGTCATTTTTATTGGACAATGGGAATCAATCAGACGCTCTATAATCCCGCGAAAGTACTGCCAAAATTCGTCTGAATCTTCTGTGTTGACCAACCAGGTTTCCTCCAAAAGAGTGCGTCTCATTGCGTTAAAGTCTCCCTTCCAAATATTTCTGCGCGTCTTGATTTTTGGTTGTTGGTTGGATAGGAGAGAGCACACGCAGGTAAATGCAATATGATCGCTTAAACCGAGTGGAGGTTGTGGATTCACTTCCCTTATGACTCCTTCTTCTTTACTGAAAACGAGATCTAAACAGTTAGATCGTTGTCCTTCTCTTATTCTTGTTCCGAATTTTATGTGCTGAATGAGGTATTCATTCAGGGAGAGTTGTAGTAGCTTGTGGTCAAATGACGTGGACGGGGCGTTTGTTAGGGGAATGTTCCAGTCTATTCCTGGAGCGTTGAAGTCCCCCAGAAGTAGTAAGTTCTCCTGCTTACATAACAACTCCAGTACACTAAGTAATTCCATATCGGCGATTTTATTCGAGCTGGGAGGCCTATAGACAACACAAAGGTTCAGTGTCGGTAATTGTTTGATGCATATCTTGCATGAAATTATTTCAAAATTTCGGGGCGCACCATCGGATATTTCTCGTTGACAGCACGCAATTTCATTTGACACATAAATAGCTGTGCCTCCACCTCTACTGTGAAATCTGTCACAACGGAACAGTTGGTAGCCTTCAATTCTGACTTCGCTGCTACTAATTTCCTCAGTCAACCATGTCTCTGTTAGGACAATTATGTGTGGCTTCTGTTCAGAAACTAGTAATCTGAGTTCATCTAGCTTGTTGAGAAGACTCTGACAGTTAGTGTAGTAGATTTCTAGACAGCGGCCACTGGTTCGAGCAGCCTCAGGAGTTGGCACATTTGCATCGGTTAGGCTGTCAGAATGACGGCCTTCGGCCAGAGAAATGTCCTTTGGACCTGAATTATTTGTCCATTCTTGATTTTTAGGTGTGTTTCACCGCTGTTTCTCCGCTTTTCCAGCTCCGTCATCAGCTTTCTCATTTTCATTCGCTCTTTTGGCTCGTAATCCGGCTGAAAAAAAACTTCAAGATGCTGACCCCGTAGAGATGATTTTCTCTGTAACAGAAGCTGGGCCTGTGCTTCAGTCTCCAAAATGACTTTTAGGGGTCGAGGCCGGGAATTGGAACCGGATGCTGACTGACTCTTCCCTATTCGGAATGCTTTGAGAACACTTAGTGACTCATCGTCTCTTAACAAAGTTTTCGCATACACTTGAAGAAGGTCTAAGTCATGCTTAACTCTCTCCTTTGGTACTGCTGCCGTTGATTCGGGTACTCCTTTTATAACTACATTTTGCTGGCGACTCAACCTAGTGCTCGTTGTTGTCACACATCTTTTGAGTGACTGAGCGTTCATCTCCAGTTTACTAGTTTCGCTGGCTTCGGATGAACTAGCTATTGGGCTAGCGAAACTGAGATCCGTGTACGATTAATTTATCTTCCTATTGATAATCCATCCTTCTGTATTTCCGAGGTGTTCGTCGAAAAAGTTTACCTCAGTTTCTTTCGAAACCTCCTCCTGAATATTCGGTCCACAAGGTGTTCCGATATCTTTATTGTTCAACGTATTTGGGAGCCTCTGGCGGTCCTTCGTAGGCCTCCTGGTCGTTCTCCTTCGCTGTTCTGCGTGTACGTAGGCGGCCTTCGTTTTTTTGGACCGTATAGAGGTGCGCGTTGTTTTTCTGGAATGTTTCTTTGTTATCTGAGTTCGCTTCGGCTGGTCTTTTTCTCGCCTAAGAGACTGGCATTCAACTGTGTCTAGTTCCCTGGACAAACCGACGTCAGTTTCAGCGTTTGATATGGCTAAAGAAGCCGTGGTTGCATATGTTTTTTTCGGATTCTGAATTGCCGAATTCATCGGCTTCTTCTCTTCATGTAAGTGGTGAGTAAGCTGCCTTAACTTTTCTACCTCCATTTTTAGACCTTTTAACTCCCCCTCCATTTTTGAAAACTTATGGACGAGTCCGAAACATGTGGTACAGATTTCATCGTCGTATGTGACATCCCCCAACGTCACTAGACTTTTTGCGCGTTTTACGGGCATTGGTCTGACAGCAGAACGTCCAACACTGCAGTCATTAATATCATGCGTAATACAATATGTATTATTATTTTTGAGAACGTTGGCGCGAGTCAGTGGCCTAGTGGTATCGACGGTTGTCTGTCCGACCGATGGACCGGGTTCAAATCCCGCCTTGGGCATGCACTTTACACCGTGTTTTGAGGGCATTTCTCTGAATAACATTACCGAGTTTACAAGTTTCAAACGGTTTTCTTAAAGGTATGACACGAATTTTCAACCTGATCGAGGATATGAGGTAAACGACTCAGCCTTTCGTAGGTTTTGGGGATAGCTCAGTGCTGTTGCAGAGAGGCGACTGGACGAAGATAGGTTATCCCTCACAA